TTAACTTTCAGAGGCTTTATCAAGCTTCCTTAGCAGTCAGATCTTCTTTTTTAAAAACTAAATTACTGCAAATTTATAATATTTTCGTTGTGCTTGATACCTCTTTTTTGTACTTATCTCCATTTCCTAGTAAGATTCAAAATGCTCTGCTCTTGTGTCACTTCATTACAACTTCTTTTCCTTTATCTGCAAGTCTCAAATTAACTTGACATAGATGTTTTACATATATTTCAGGCTAAATGTGAAGTATTCCCTCATGCCCATGAGGCACTTGGAAAGTTGACAAGTTCTGCTCTCAAGGACACTCTAAATGAGGTTATTAAAATTCAACACTTTGCATATTCTGATGGAGAAAAACGCTTGTCCCTGACAACAAAGGACATAGGTCAATTTAAGAAAGCTTCTCAATCTCCTTATCCATGGCTACTGAACTCCTTGTGCCAGTATTTCTAAAACCAAAATAAGAAAATGTTACCAGGGAGGAAGAAAAGTGTAGGAGCCCAGGTCCTGTCCAAAAGTAAAAATCCATAACCATCTGTTGTTTGTGTTACATGGATTTTGCAACTGTCATCTCTGTAGTGCATGCCATTTCATCTTCACAGCAATATCACCAAAACACCCACTGAGATAAAAATCACAAATATTTTGAACATACCATATGATATGTTATTTTCCAAATTAATATTTGACAAAGTCAAAATGAGAACTTGTCTATAGATTACTTCTGTGTTGTCACCTGAAAAAACCTTGAGGGGTTTGCAACTCTTTTTGCTTGCACTTACATAGCATCTTTATTCAAAAGGGTCCAAAGGTACTTTTAAAATTTACTTAGAAATATCATCTAGAATTTAAATGGACCTTTCTTTTTTGAACTTCAGACCAGCAAGACTATACCACATTTCACAGCTGGGTATGGCTTGAGGGATTTACCAGCTCTCAAACTAATCTCTATAACCCAATGTCACAACCAAAAAGTTACTTTGGAAAAAAAAAAGCCCAAACAAAACAAAGAAACAAAAAAACCCAAACTGAAATTGTCTTTGGAAAAATGACAGAAAACAGTTAAAGACAAGAGAGTAAACCAATTGCTTTTTCGCTAAGGAATTCTAAAACTCAAGGTCAGCTGTCTGAAATCACCAGATCTGTCACATGGCTTTCATAGCTTCCACTAAAGGCTCCTATCAAACCTACATTGAAAGCACTGAAAACATTTTTACTGGAAACAGATTGAGCTCCGATAAGAAACTCTCTAATCACCTCTGGTTGTTAATGCTATGCAAAGTGAGAGGTGAAGTATTGAAAAGGAGAAGAATGAACTTAGAGAACTTGAGGCCAAATGTATTTGATCTTTTTCTTGAATTTCTTAATGCTTGTTTATTTTAGAGCATAAATATGGCTCTATAAGAATACATGTATAGTTTATGTATATAAGAATACATAGATGTACACACATTTTATGTATGTATGTATGCATACACATACAGAAACACAGGTTGCCCTGTAAGGATAACTCAACTAATTCCATCTTATCTCAGCTTCTGTCCTCCAGTAACAGAAGTTTGGTGGTCTCAGTCACAGTCCCTTGGGTGTAGGAGTCCGTCACAAAACCATCATCCTTAATTTAATACAATTGATAGTCTCTGCTCAAGAGAGGCAGAAGAAGGAGTTGCCATGGAGACTGTACTATTACTCTTCTCCAGAGAATACTTTTTTCAACCACGGACTGAACAGTAGAGGCTCTGAAATACCTGTAACCTTGATCACATCACAGGATCTTGCTTTTTGGGATGGCTTTTTAGTAAGCTTTAACAAACATCCAGGAGAGGAGGGGGGGTGGGGAAGAGAGCTTAAGAAAACAAACAAAAGCCTAAAACCCAGCAAAAAACAGTATGAAACTGCATATTAGGTCAGATTGAAAGGGGAAAAGAGTTCCATATTGATTTATCAGATTTGTCACCTCTGCTTAGTGCTTTCCTAACGGGGTGAATGCTGTGCTTGACCTATTTGCTGGAATTAACCAGGACTGCAGGAGACCATATGGATTGCCAGATGGTCTGCTATAATTTAATGCCATTTATTCTAAGTATGAAGTAAGTGATAAACATAATTAACATTCTTTTAGCTCCTTACTGGATGCCTTTTATTAGTTTTTGTTTTTTTTTTTTCCTCAGGCATTGAAAGGTAAGTAAATACCTTGTTACTGAAACACAGATGCCAGCTAATTACTGCAAGAGGCTGCAGCCTTCAAAGCAAAGAGTGTCTGTACAGACTCTAACTTATTCACTGACCCCACTGTGATGATTAATAGGTTGAATGCTAAGCTCTAATGAGGATGACAGATCTTAGATGTTTTCAGGTTACCTTAATTAGTAGTATGATGAACAGAGTGTTCATCGCAGATGTACGTATCACACTTCATAGTAAACAATACACCTTGTACTCACGGTCTGAACATGTACTTCACATTACAGCACATCAAATGCTAAGGAATCAAACCACTTTCAGACAGTAAAAACAATGGAGTGATTTCCTTCAGAAATGTTTTTCCTGATTGCTATTTCATATTCTGCCAGTGATTGTCTAAATGGCCTATTTTTTAGGAAGTGGTTCCAGAGAAGCTATGGCTTCAAAGAGTGTTTATATCAGGCAGGGTTGTCATTCTCAGCATTTTAAAACCACGAATATGTAACAAGATATCCAAACAACTTTGTCTACTGTTCCTGTCCTGATAATCTTCATAGGGACTGAGGTAGGTGTTAGCAGAACAAAAAGTGAACTATTTTGTAATTTTTAATGTCAATGTACAGGTGAAGTTAGTATGTTGGTACTCAGAACAGTAAAAGAAAAGGAAGAAGTACTGAATGATTTGTATTTTACATGAAAAATTGTGCACGTTGAACCTTGCAGATAAAAATGACCACAGTTAAACATCCTGGGATTTGCATCTGTACTGTTAATAAAACTTGGGTGAATTTTGAGATGACAGAAATGGTGTAAGTTAAATGTTATTCAGAGATTAAAACAAAAGAACAGCACCTGCATTATAAGCAAATCTGCCCTTAGAAAATTTAGCTCTAATTAGAAAATGTGGTGAAAAAAGGTCCAGGTCAAAAGTCATAGCATAGGAAAAGCAGAAACAAACTCCAGCTTTTCAACACCTGTGCTCTTCCCTTGTCCCAGATGGGTCCAGCACTTGTTTAGGGGCCACCACAGTTACACATGTACACTCCACAGTGCAAGTGCTAATGCATCCTTAAGAAGTAACTACATTAGAAGGGATCTGAATGAGATGGGACATACCTGCTCTTTTACTCCACTCTTGATTGCATTAGTTCAAGTTACTTCTTCACCTGCTGAATTTTGGTGAATCACTTGATTATTGTCGCTGGTCCTATAAAATCTTTTATGATTCTCTATTAGTATATAAATAAAAATGGGATCAAAATATTTGAACAGCATACTTTTGTTGATACTGACACCAACTGTCAAGATGTCTTTATAAGGTCTTTGTCTCTGTCAGCATTTGAAAAACAGAAACAATTTTTCCATCCCATTAACTGAAAAATATTTACCTGAGGTGCTTAGGCTAGTGCTATGCTGGCTGCAGGTTCATTTTTATGGTCAGAGGGGAAAAACAGGTACATAAAGAGAGCAACTCAGGTAGCCTGAATTTCTCTCTTTAGGCACCTACCTGTCTTACCTGACTGCTAAAGGAGCTAGGGTCATTCAGGTGTCAAAAATTAGGGAGGTTGAAATCAGAGATAAAAAATTACTATGCTAAAAACGAGACTTCATGCTTCCTTCAATAGGTTGTTCACTGGACCTGATAATACCATACTTTAGTATTACACAGACACCACTTCTCAAAAGTATTGGAGTGATGGTCTTCAGTGATTAAAGATATTGAATGTCAATGTGCTATTGGCACAATGTTTTCAGTTTCTATGTATATATTTATACATATATATATATATACACACATATATAAAAATATATGAATTTAATTGCTCAAACATTGCAAACAGTCTGGGATGTTCCAAGTGGTTACCTCATAACATCCAAAGAATGGGCAATGCCAGATATATTGCCTGGAATAACCTTTTAGTTAGATCCTGAAGAAGTGTTTTGCCTAAGTAGCAGCTAGCTCCCACCAATACTTTAAAATAATATATGTTGAAAGAATGAAGTAACAAAGCAGAATTTAACAGTTAGTCTTTGAGCTTGATAGACACAAAAGCTGCCAACACAGGTCTGACACAGTACTTAAACATGGCTTTATACTTTAAAATAATTTTCCATCTCTTTTGTTCTTTACTTCCTTGCTTACAAGAAAAAAGATATCAGAGAATTTATGTTCACTGTTCATTTCAGTCTCAAGAATAAGATTGTATCTTAGCTGTCATACAGATGACATGTAAAAAACATATCTCTTGGCCTAAATGGAAAATAGGATTTTATTTTAGGACAAATAGGAACAAGATATAAAACCAATGTCTTCAGAGGAATACCTGTGCCTGACTGATGAACCCTCATTGTCATAATGTTTTTCTGTGTTTAAGCTCCATCTGATCTACTGAGATATCTCACTGAAGCAGCAGAGGCTGAGTAAATGTACCCCCAGTCCCAGGAGAAGTTACTTGGGCGTTGTTTGTTGGAAAATGTGACTCTCAGAAACTGTGCATTTAGGGCAAAATTACAAAACAGAATTAGGTTGAGGAACAAACAAAAGGCCCTAAGGGGAAAACAAAAAGGAAGAGAATATGAAATGCTTTAAAGGAGAAAGAAAACAGTGCTTTCATGATGATGTGGCTACTAGTACTCTCTGATACAATATGATACAAAAAAAGCATGCATTTTGGTAAATTCTTTAGGTAATAGTGATAAAATCAGGTACTAATTAACTGTAAATGCTTTAAGACTGTAGGAGAAAAAACAAAAAACAAAAAACAAAAAACAAACCAAAACAACTATAATATTTGCAAATTTCACAAATGTCTTACCTCCTGCATACATGACAGCCAACATTATTGATGATATCCAAGCTATCTCACTATACGATGTATGAAAGATTTCTTGTATTTCTTTGAAGAATACTGTGATGGCTTTGGGGAATGCATAGGAAAATCCAATGGAGATAAAAGCCCCAAAGACCACAACCCATCCCCAACCTCCATCTGGAGGCGGGTACTGTGGTGCTGCTGGTGGTGGTGACATTTTTGGTCTCTGTCTCTTCTCCAACTAGGCTGAAAAGGAAGAGAAGAAACAAGGTTTCAGTTTTCGTTTTTTCTTTATCAAACTGCAGTATTAAATCATAACCTGCAGAGATTATAAAGAATCCTCAGAGGAGACACCAATGTCCAGCTTTCAGGGGACCACAGAACACAAGTACCTGGTTTTAGAAGCAAAATCTGTTTTGCAAAAAAGTTGTGGCAAGAATATTTGCAATATCCTACTCAGTATGTGGCAACTATTATAAATCACTGATCTCAGTTGCTGAAGTTGTAATTGCAATTAGTGACTTATTGGAAAGCTACATGTTTGTATGGGTTAATTTATGTGTCTCTACTGTCTAGTGTGGATTTAGCACAGGAATTAAACAGAAAAAAAGCCTGGAAATTGGACTTACAGGAAGCAATGGAAAAAAATCTACAGTAAACTATCACTAAATACCATTGTGTTAGCAAGATTTACTGGTACCTCAGCAAAAGCATCAGCAACAACAGCAGGTAATTCGTTCATTACACAGGTTTTTATCATATGCTGTCATTATCCAACTTCTGACCATTGTTGATATCTCTTGCTTATCACATGAGAACATCTAAAAAGCTGGTTCTAAGCAGAGATTTAAAATTCCCTGTGTACCTATAAAATAAATACAAAATATTACTATTTCATTTTGTACTCTTATTTTATAAAATTTTCACCATCTTAGTTGATGTTCATATTACTTGCAGAAGTAAGGTGGAACTTGCTGGTACTATTTTTGTTCTACTTCCACATGGCAGAAGACATCAGGAAGTCTTTCACTAATAACCTCACAAACTTTCCACAACTATTCTCTAATTTAGAATTTACCATAATAGATGCTACCTGAGTGATATCTTATAGAGGTTCTGAGAGGTGCAGCCAACACATTCAGGCAGTTCAAGGAATCATACGCAATGCATATAAAACGCCTAAGGCCTGAAATAAATTTCATACTGTTATTATCATCCTGATATCTGAAAAATTAAACTTTCTACATTCTGCATGACCTTTTTAGAAAACATGTAGTAGCAAGAATCTACTTTGTAATACTGAGATTTTTCCAGTATCAAATCCCTTTATTATTAAACACAGAGCTGGAGTCCACTGTGTTTTCTTCTCTGTAATCCAGCCTACACAGACAGCATGAAGCGAAAATTCCTCCTTCTTCACCGTTTTTTCTTGGGCATTTAGGCAACTTAATGCTCTTGACTGGTTTCCTGCCATACCAGTATCGAAAGGTGTGGATGATAACAGTGTATAAGTTGCTGTTATGCTTATCATTACCAGCAAGTCTCTATGTGATTTCTTCTGCCACTTAAGGCATTTTCAATCTCTTGCAGCAAACTGCATTAGTAGTGGGAGTGATATGATTACCTTAACAAAAACTAAAAAACTAACTGTGTCATCTTATATTGATCTCTCAGGATAGTGCCTGGAGTATTTTCAGGGTAAATGCCATGTGGCACTGCATGCAATATATGCTACAAAACTAAGAGTTGCTCTTAAGATTATCTATCACTAGGCTAGCCCTGTGATAGAAACCCACCGTACTTCTGATTCTCCACTTTATCAAAGCTGATTGTAGACATCACCTTGATACTGACCACCAAAACATCTGGCTTCTATGCAAGGTTGCGAAAGCCCAGGTAGTTTGGCTTCTGCATCATATCATACAGATTTGCTGCCGGCAGCAATAGACATCTATTGCTCTGTACATAGAGGGTACAAATCTTTTTATATGCATGTCCAGAAAGAACCTCTGGCATACACTTTGTTTGTGCTTATCCTAGTCTCAGTTTAATATTAGTCCACTGACACACATCAGTGAGGAAAACCTGGGCCTGCCACTAGAAGTTGGACAAGTAGAGATAACTCTGGTCACTGAGACTTAACTTTGGCAAAGCAGTTAAATACCGGTTTGGTTTTGCTGAGTCTGGACCCATTAGAAGGAGAGTATCTCAGAAAGCCCACTGTAACTTAACACCCATCATGATCGATTGCCTTCAAAAGCACAAAACCCCAAATTGGCATGAAAAGAGAACGCTATTTCTGTGAATTGAGTGACCGTAAACAACAGAGTTTGTTGTTTGCTGTCCCAGACAGCTGCTGTTCTGCTCAACTGAGAAAACTTTTGATTATTTCCTAAAAAAAAAGTTAACTATTGTTTTCTTACACTTCAAAGGTTTGAGCATATTTGTTTTCATATTTCATACTCATATGACAACACTTCTATCTCTATTATAAATTTTAGTAATGCCACACAAGATCAAGGCATTGCTCTCCATAGAAGTGGAAAGGGATTATCAATTTATTGAGGAAGCACTCCTTTTCCTAAAAATAATACACAACTACTTTGAAAAATCACTGCCACCACATTGGTCAGAAGAATGTTGAAGGTTCCTGAATGTCACTGAATGTCATCAGTGCTTTGGAACGTTATATCCACCCCTTTAGGGCAGCAGAACAGGCTGTGATCTGCTGACAGTTCAGTGCTTTCCTCCCTCTAAAAGCTTCACAGTAAACTAAGGAGGCATTAAGGAGATGAGCAAAGGGACACTGGCTGCTCCTGTGTCTCACCCTAGATGCAAACTGCTGCAAAGCCCACTGCATGGCCAGCTTGTAGCGCTGCTGCAGTAAAAGGCTGTCTGCTAACCTACAGCTACTGTCACAAAGAAGAGACTGGATCATTATATCTCACACCTTTTTATCCCACAGAGTAGAGTTAATAATAGCTTCCCTGATGTTCCTTTATGATCATGATAGCCAATTTTAGCTCCAGTTAATAAAAGGTGAAAAGGAAAAAAATAATAAATACATGTTTGCACCAAGAGGAAAAAAGTACTCAATTTCTCAGAAACATGAAATCCAACTTCTCCAACATCCTGTAACTGCTCAGGAGTTAAAGCAACTTTCTTCTTAAAATCTGCATTTAATACCCCTGAAACTGATCTCCTGCTAAAGCAGTCTAGCACATTAATATACCTAGCTATAATCTAAGCCTAAATAGTAAGATTTGGGTGGTATAGGTAGTATACAGACAAGGGCAAAATCTATTAGCCACCAAACCAAAACATTTTAGATGAGTCGATATAAATGTTGACAAGGGAAGAGGCAGAAGAAGGACGAATGAAGGCATGACAAGCAAAATGCCGTTTCAGAGCTCTGAGAGCTTATTATGGGCTGTGAAGAATAAAAAGAGATGGTAGAAAGCATAAAAACAGCAACATGTGATGATGTTCATGTGAAGGACATGGTATCAGACAAAAAAAAAAAAAAAAAAAAAAAAACACTTGATTAAACAAAGGTCACCACCAGTGCTTTCAGCCAGTCATATGAATTCTACTGTGTGCTTATAAGAAGCTAGCGAACAAGCACTGTTCATACCTATGCTTTTATAGGCAAGCAGTGGGTGAGGAATGCTGCCTGCCCCTCCACCCAGGGAAGCCGCAGGGGAACAGTGACCGAAGCGTGTCCTGAGTGAAGCCATCAATCTCCCTTCTCTCTGTCAGATACAGAGACAGTGCTTTCCATACCCCGAGTCAGACCGTGCATGACAATTTTCTCCTAAACTCCTTCTAGTTCCCCTGTGTAAATCGCGCTTATGTAAGCAGAGAACATAGAATAGAGTTTACTGTAGTAAGAGCTGCATGTGTCTACTAACAAATAATAGGAGAGACACAAGGCCAGAAGAAACTTTTAAAACATCTGATATGCAATATTTTCTATTATATAGGTCTCAGCACATTTGAACTTAATTAGGCAAATGAGATCTAGTGAATGAAAGAGAGAAAGGGAGGGAAGGAAGAAGGAGCAAGGGAGGAAGGGAAAGCAAGAAAAAAAAAGGGGGAAAAAGAAAGCAGCAAGCAAGCAACAAGGTCAAACTAAGAGCAAATGCTACAGACAAATAATGTATCTTGATATCATGCACTGTAGACTTCAGTCAGTCATGATCAACCTGTTCAGACTTCATGTAGCAATGCTTCATTACTATTCTGCAGTTGCCAGCTGCCAGAATCAGCTATCAATACAACAGCTTGTCAAAGACACTTCTGAGAAGGGGTTATGTTGTTCTCTTGTTTACAGAGACTCCAATTTTACTGAGAGTTTTAGTTGCACTTTTCTGCACCTGTTTGCTTTTCTGCTTGCATTTTGTCTGCCTTGTCCTCAATGGACTCCATCATCACTTGACTCAGCAGCCACTCGTTCCACAGTAAAAGAGGTGGTATGTGAAAAATCTGTCCCCAGTTGCTGTAGGATAGTAGAAATTTTTGGCATGTGTGTACTGCATTCCAGTTCCACACACTCAGCCAAGGACTGCAAAAAGCTTTGCAAACTTGAGCAAACTCAGTCTTAATCCCTGACATCCCTGTGGGGTGATTGAGAAGTATCATCCATGTTCAGACATGGGAAACGAATATAATAACAGGTTAAATAACTTAAGTCTTGTCCCAAATCAGTGGCAGAGCTGGGATGTGGACTATTGTCCAAGTAGGCTGTGAATGATGACTGAGGTTTTTAAGCACATGTGTTTTAGAAGCTCATTAAGTAGTAAATGCAGATTAATTGTACTGTTTAATACTCGAATTAGGAGCACAGGTGGGGTACAATGTTTGCTCTACAGGTTTGAATAGTCTGCTGCTCTAACTTACCCCTAATGAATGTTCATTACATTGCTGTATTTAAGATAAATGACTTGGTGGTAGCACTAGTAAAATATTGAGCTATATAGGAATTATAAAAGATCCTTGCTTGAAAGCTGCAAAACTTTCAATTTTCTTATTTTTATTAACAGCATTTTAATGAGTTTCAAGCCAGATGGCAGGAAGCGGTTATCACCTCATCAAATGGTATTGCCTCACCAACTTCCACAAGCCATGGTCATTATCTTGTGAATTAAATCCAGTATTTGAAGAAAAAAAATATCTTGTTTTGTGAGAAGGTTTTTCTCTAACTTGAGATTTTTTTGTGGAGAAAGGGGGAATGCAGGAAGATTCTG